GAGCTTTTCTGTCTTAATAAATCCTACTTTTTCAAAAAACAAAACAAAACAAAACCACCACCACAACAAAAACTCTGACTAAAGGCTCAGCATGAGAGAATTCCGCTCTATAGCTATACCTATTCATACCTATCCACACACACATGACCAGGACAGGCTGTAGGAGGTGCCATCTGCTCCTCACTTGCAGGGGTGCCACCTTTGACACATGCTCAGGATGACTAGAGCACGGTGAAGCTGTTAGGCTGCACACCTCTGCAGTGGATGGGGTTCTGGTAGAGCCTCTTCCTTGACTTATGGACTCATCTGGATGAACCATCATAGAATAATACTGTGGTGGTGAGAACAGGCATCTTAAGCTAGAAAGGACTGGATCAGCCTCTGGGTCAGTTACTACCACCTAACAGAGTTGCAGCCTCCAGGGAAAATTGCCGCTGAGTAGGAGAGCTCTGGATTTTCCGGGAAATTTGAACCATAATGAAGTTTGAGTTTTAATAAGAAAAAAGTCTTCAAGAACTTACATTTGAAGAGGGCAAGATGAATTTTAAAGTATCCACTTGGGTCCAGAGAAACAACTTATGACCTGAGCCCACCTGCCCAACAGACAAGCAGGGAATGAGGCGAGAAAAAGTCAAGCAAGGAGCCTGCAAAGTTCTGTGAGTATTGTGAACTTGGATGGAAAATTCTTATGCTAAGAGGGTTTGGGAACCTGGTAAAGCTTTTCTCCACTTTTCCTGCATTAGATCTTAAGATTGAATATTTATATTTCAGAAATTCAATTTTTTTGTTTATTTTCTTCTCTCCTTCCAAGTTCTTTCAAAACATGCTGACTGGTCTCTGGTCTTAAGAGAAAACAAGGTGAAATAATTTGCTTCACAAATGGGCTAGTCTTTTATAAGGATCAAGGGCACATCCCTGAGATTTGGGACCCTGGTGTCCACTTGAATTAAAGTTCAAAAGTTCTAAGATCCAGATACTGTAGGTCAAGTTCTTCTTTGATGGCTAATTTCAACTTGACTGGAGTAAGAGATGCCCAGATAGTTGGTAAAACATGATTTCTGGGTGTGTCTGTGAGAGTGTTTCTGGAAGAGATTAGCATTTGTATTAGTAGAAGAGTAAGGAAGTATGTAGTAAGGAAGAAATACCTTCAGCAGTGTGGGTGGGCATTATTCAATTCATCCATCAAGGACCCAAATATAGCAAAGAGGCTGAGGAAGGGCAAATTTGTTCTCTCTCTTCTCGAGCTGGGAATTCTTCTGTCCCTCGTCTTCAGAGCATCAGGTTCTCAGGCCTTTGGACTCAGACTAAATTGTGCCACCAGCATCACTGAACTTATCAGCCTCCATAATTGCAGGAATCATTCCCATGAGAAATCCCCTCTTACATATCTATATATATCTCATTGGTTTTGTCTCTTTGGAGAACTTGAATACACCTTTCTCCCTAGAAAGTTCGTTTTTGCTTTAATTTTGAAGACTGTTTTCATGGCAAATTGTATAATCTCAAAATGACAGCAACACTATCTCCTATCCCACAAGCTCTTACAATATGACAGGGACACTGCCCTGTTGAGAGGTAGAGGTCTGTGTCCTCTTCTTTTGAATTGGGGCAGGTTTTTGACTTCAGGGGAAATGATACTATGTGTCTGGGTGATATGCCTTTCACCTGGTTCTGTTGGGATGTCAAATCTTGGAATCCAGCCACCATGCTGTGAGGAAGCCCAAGTAGCCTGCCGAGAGGCCTACTTGAGGAGGAGTCACAGCTTTTTGCCAGCAGCCCTGGCTAACGGCCAGCATTGCCCTGCTAGCTGTGTGAGTGAGCCATCCTGAAATAATTTCCATGCCCCAGTGGAGCTGATGCCACAGGAAGCAGAGAAGAGTGGCCTCCTCCAAGCCCTGTCCAAATTGCAGATTTGTGAGAAAATGAATGAGTCTTACCATTTTAAACCATGATATTTTGGGATGGGTTTTTATATGGCAAGACAACTGATACAGTTCCTTATTTTTATACTACTAAACATGCTCTTTGGTGTTCATTCTGAGTACATTTCTTACATTTACAGTTTCCTCTTTTTTTCACAAGCAGCTGTCCGCACAATTGTTCTACCCACAGAGAGGTCTGGAGCCACTGAGGAAGCTAAGAAGTGACAGGTGAGTGAGCTATTGTTTTTGAGTCCTACTTGCTTATGGACATGAGGAGGGAGTGAGGACAGTTTCCTCTTCTCCTAGACTTGAAGCTCCTGTCAGCCACCTTTTTCATGTGTCCTCTGGAGATATGTGGGTGGGTGGCTAGGTATGGTTTTTCATAGACTAATTGATAAGACAATCATGTGTTTCCAAAAGGTAAATGCCTCTGTGAGGTTAAGAGAAGATGACAGACACTCCCATACCTGGTATACAGAGCATTCCTGAATAGATCACTGCATTTATTAGTGACATCAATGGCTATGAAGTTTACCTAGGAGCTGCTCATGGAAGTGGCTACAAATGCTCCTTCCTCAAGTCCCTCCTGGACAGCCGGGCTCCATGCTCCTTTTGAATGCGTCTCTGCCAGGCAGGGGCTGCCATTCTTCCTGAAAGCTCAGTCATGTGCCAAGAGAAAAAGATTTGGTTGGTGTCATTACTTGCTGTAACCTGATACAGTATATCTATCTTGAGCTGATCTGAAACCCAACTAAGACATGTCTGATGCTAATGATGATGCCAACTTTTTCCTTTGTGTCTCAATTTTCTTCCCTTCACTCTCTGCCTTCACCCCCTTGTTCTACTCTATTTCTAGAAGACTTGCCCAGAAATTCATTATTCTCCTTAGACAGTTGCTTTCCAAACCTAACTCTTGCTCTCAAGCTTGCTATGTGTGTGTTTTTTTCTTTCCAATCTGACAGACAGCTTTACTTTCCTAGAAGAAACCACCCCTCTAAGGAGGAGAAAGTAGACAGCCAAGCAAATAGTCAGGATGAATGGTGAGAGTAGCTCTATCCTTTTCCTTACTCTGAAGGCCACTAGAAGGTTTCTCAGAGCCTTGGTGCTTCTCACTCCCCTGGTTTGTTGATACCTGAAAGTGGTGAGGAACTGGGGATAGGCCTTGGAATCTAGCATTTCTCTCTAGGACATAGTTAGCTGCTTAGAGGCTTTGGAAGGAGAAGAATCTTGTTATCACTAGTTTTGCTAATGGGTTACAGTAAGGTTTTACACCTCTAGAACCCTGAGAAAAGTGTGTGTGTGTGTGTGTGTGTGTGTGTGTGTGTGTGTGTGTTGGGGTGGGGCATGCTGCCTGGGCATTACTGCATCAGTGAGACCTGGAACTTCCAGCACTCTTTGCAGTCCCAGGAAAGACATCTTGGCCCTGGAAGAGAACCCAGAGCAAGAGCTCTGGAAGAGATGTCCCCAGAGTTGTATATCTTGAGTATGTTTGCATGAGTAGAGAGAATAGGTGAGGTAGGAGATTATTCTGGCTCTGCAGATTATATCCAGATGCTAAAACTTTACCAGTGTGTTTACTTCTCTGTTGGGGTCCCAGCTTTCCACTTTCTGGCTGGCAGTGAGCTACTGGGTTCAGGTTTCAGGGAAGACACCCAAAGCCAGTTTTCTCTCTCTCTCTCTCTCTCTCTCTCTGTGTGTGTGTGCACCTTCCCAGAATTAAGTCTCTTTTGTCCTGGAGCCAGAGGGGCTGTGGGGCTAACTAGTGCTTTGACAGGATAGAATTCCTGAACTCTCCCTCATTGTCCTTCTGCCTTCCTTCCTTGGCCAAACAGCCCATCCCAGGGAGCTGTGTGATTCTTACCACTGCTTTCACTCCTTGAGAGAACAAACATCTTCACTGCAGCCTCAGAACGCTGGTGTGAGGTGATTGTTGGCAGTAGATGTTTCCATGACACTCATTTATTTTCTTTTCTGCAAATACAACTGTATTGGGGGAAGGGATGAGGAGAGGCTAGGGTATGGAGATTGAGAAATATGAAGACCTTCCCGTTTCCTTATCTGTGTTCCTTTGGAGGAATATGGAGCCGCTATTCCCTTTCGCCGGGGTCTCCTCCACCCCACCTCCTAAACTGATTCCCCAGTCCATCTCGGCTTCATGCTGCTGAGATGGGGCTAGCCTCTGAGTAAGGTGGAAAGAGGAGGAATCATGTGCACGAGGAAGCAACCTTCATTAGGAGAAGTGGGGGGAAAACTTTTATTGCTCAAAGTTGGGATTTAGTAATGATGACCAAGGATGACTGGCACTGGGGGTGGCTGTGTGTGTGCGCGCGTGTTTCAGGGGGGGTCTGTGACACTTCGCAGCTGAGTCAATGAGTCATTCCAAATTGTAGCGACTTTTAGAGGTCATTTTAGTCATCCCCCTGCCTGCAGGCTGGCCGGAGCCCGACTTAACATCATATTTGGTGGGGTGGGGGCGGCTCTGGATGTCTGCGTGTGGAAGGAGTGGGGGCGGGGAGGCAGCGCGTGACCTCTTTGAAGCGATCTCCAGCGAAGGACATTCCCTGGCTCTCCCTGGCTGCCCGCTCCTGGGCTTCCCCATCGCTGAATCAGCATGGTCCTCCAGGGAACTGCTTTTTGCTGGATGGAAACCGGATGTTGGGTTCCATAGGTGGGCGGGGGCTCCATTCCCCGCAGACCTGTCAGGGGTAATAGAGACCTGTCAGGGTCTCGTTAGCAGCTACCATTCCCATTACCAGAAACTTGCCATGCAGTGTGAGCAGAGAACAGAAGAGAGCAAGACGCTACGACGCCTTCTCTCAGGCAATGCGCATGATTCTGCGGCTCTGTGCTCGCCACACTTCAACGCACCTTGAAATGGGCTCGCCTCCTTCGCGCCGCAACGGGCAGACATATGAGCCAATCGGACGCCGGGTTTTCGGGCTGCGCCCAATAGGCGGGCTGCGAGGGCGGTCCCGGAGGCCCGGCCTGGCTAGGCTTCACCGTGGACCTGGCTGCGCCGCCTCGGCGAGTAGTGCAGGTGCCGCTGCGCCGGGGCCGGGGAGGCTGCGCGCCGAGCCGAGCGAAGTCGAGGAGGGATGGAGAGCGGGCCGCCCGGGTTGCAAGAGCACCGGCGCGGGGCGTAGGCGGGCGAGAGGCGGGCGTGAGGCGGGCGCTCGGGCACGAGAAGTGTGCGGGCGCAGGAGCACTTTGCGATAGGATGAGGCTCTTGGCTGGCGCGCGGTAGTACTATGATTTGGTATGTGGCCACTTTGATAGCAAGTGTGATCAGCACCCGAGGTCTTGCGGCTCAAGGTGAGTTGAAGTGCAGCGTCCCTGCCCTGCCCCTCCCACCGCTCCCAGCTCCG